CCCCAAAACCCCAAAACCCCAAAACCCCTGACTCATGCATTTCAGAAATATAATAGATTATTTATTTGGGAAATAGATTAAATCATTACTAAGGATATAATGAAATAGCTCTTCTTTGTTCCATTGGAGCCCATTTACGCCAATCCATATCAGGCTCAGGGTTGTTTTCTAAGATTGAGGTCACCTTGTTTTCAATTTCTTGATTCCATTTTCTTAGTAGTTCAATTGATTTTAAGTTCTCATCAACTTAAGAGAGTTTAGTAAAGCCAAGAATGCAGGTGCTTACATCAGTATTAGCAATAGCCCACGCTAAGGATAATTAAGCTTGAGTGTAACCTAATTCTTTAGCAACCTTTTCTAGAGCATTAAGCTTCTTTAGGCTACTTTCTCTTTTGGCCTCACCCATGAAAAGCTACCAAATTCTATCAAGAATTTTGTGATTGTCATATCTGCTACCTTCTGGAATATTTCCATCGTTGTACTTGCCAGAAAGGATGCCTCCAGCTAAGGGAGACCAGATTGTAGTTCCATACTTGGTCTCAGAAAATAGCCTTCTGTATTCCTTCTCGAATCTATCTCTGCAAAGCATGCTGTACTAACATTACTCTACAATTGGCTTGTGTAGCCTTAGTCTAGTACAAAGTTCAATGGCCTTTGAGATTCTATCAGCTGGCCACTCTGATGTACCCCAATAGAAAGCTCTTCCCTTTTCAATTTAATCGTGCATGGCTCTGCATGTTTCTTCAAGAGGAGTGTTAAAATCAGGTCTGTGACAGTAGACAACATCCACGTAATCTAATTGAAGTCTTTTGATTGAGTTTTTTAGTCCTTCTTGGATATGTTTTCTAGATAAAAAGCCATCATTAGGCCCATCTCCCAACTTGAATAGCTTCGTGGTAACTACCAACTCTTCTCTAGGCAGATTGAGTTCTTTGAATGCCTTTCCCATTTGAGTCTCGGCATTTCCAAGTCCATATCCCTCTGCTGTGTCATAGAAATTGACACCAGCATCAAAGCATTTCTTGATGGCATCTCTTGTTAGATTGTAATCCTCCTCCTTGTTTGAGTTTAGCCAGTTTCCAAAAGATAAAACTGAGACCTTGATTCCTGAGTTGCCAAGATATCTGTATTCCATTGTCTTGTACTTGTCGTTTGATTCTACCATTTTCTTAGATTTAGAGAATATCTTTGACTTTTTATTATCTATTTATGCGATATTTTAATGTGTGATTTATATCAGTTATCTAGATTTCAGAATTAAGGGTGATCAAATTTGAATGTTGGGGTTTTGGGGTTTTGGGGTTTTGGGG